ATGTGGGTGTGTGGGGGGGGGGGGGGGCAAATGGACTTAGCACAGAGGAGTTTAACCAATCAACAAAATAAAGAAAAAAACCTAATTGCATCTAAATAAACATTCCCTAACCGTTACATACCCATATCTTCAAGGTCCATTCCATTTCTAGGCACATATATTCCTTTTCTAGGTATGGGGGTCCCTGTGATTCAGTTCATCTTTTCCCCCTCGCTCCTGATTTAAAACTCCCACAAAAGAAAAGCAGCAAGCAGATTTCCTTTCCATTCACATCTCAACACTTTTCCCCCATTGGTTCTTCTGCCCCCCCTGCTAACATCTCTTAGCCTACCTGGGTTTTTTAATCTCTTAGGCTGTGTTTACACTACACGTTTTTGTGGCAGAAAATATGCTAATGAGGGGCTAATTAGCATGAGTCGTGATATCATTAGTATATTTTCTGCCATTCTTTTTGTGCAAGGGGTTTTTGCGCAAAAAGAAGCAGTGTAGCTGTTTCTGTTTTGCACAAAAAACCCATTTTGCACAAGATCTTTATGCCTCTCTGGGATCTTGTGCAAAACAGGGTTTTTGCACAAAATGGAAGTGGCTACACTGCTTCTTTTTGCTCAAAATCCCCTTGCGCAAAAAGAAACAGCAGAGAATATGCTAATGATATCATGACTTATGCTAATTAGTCCCCCATTAGCATATTTTCTGCTGCAAAAACTCTCAGTGTAAGCAAAGACTCAGTTACTGAATGCTAGGATATTTAGAAAAGGGCAGCACCTCTCTAATCCATCACAGTACCAAAGGAATTATTTCTGATTCTTAATCTCTTTGCAATCCAGTATTGGATATATTGGATTAAATAACTCTTTTCCTATATGGGTACCCACTTCTTGGTTACTCCTGTATTGAGGAGTTTTCTGCTTTTGTTCCACATTTCCAAGGTATACGCAGATCCTAGAATTTATTTTCAACCTGATTGCCTCTTCACCCTATGTCAAGGTAGAAATACGGCAGTCATTTTACTGAATAAATAATGCTTTCTTTTTTGTGTCTTCAAGGTATGACTGGGAGGGAGATACAATAAATTTATTATAACACATGTTACTATTTCCAAGACATTGAACACTTATATCAATTTTAGAAATGTATTTGTTAATGAGTATTGCACAGTAAGAATCATTACTGTAAATGGGAAAATAATCAAGGAGGTCGACTAATATATTTACTTGGATCAACAGTTGAACAGAAACGACTCATTCAAAGGGGAGTGCAGTAGGAGGAGAAAGGCAGGATGGGCAAGTTTAATCAAAATAAATATGGCTGTAGTGGATGATAAGCTGCCATGCAGAAAAGGAAAGAACTGTTTAACTCAGCTGTTTTGCCAGAAGTGCTATATGAAGTGAAAAGCTAGTATACAACAAAAGCAGAGGAAGAAAAATTTGCTGTACCCAGAGAGCAATGGAAAGGCGAATGTGTAAGATATTGCTCTGTAATCACATACCAAATGAGAGTCAAAGGTATACAGGGTGACCAATATAGTGCAGGCGATGTAAAACAAAAGTGGAGATACGTGGGTCATGTGGTCCTCAAGCAAGACAATAGATGGACAACCTGCATTAGTGCACAACCCTCCCTCTTCCCCCGCCCCATCCTCCCTTTCTTTCACCAGGCTGGGGCAGACCAAAAAATGCACTGAGCCAATCCCATGACAAAACTCTTTGGCCAAAAATGGAAAGAATGTTCTCACAACAAAATAGAATGTTGTGGTGTTGACTTTTATTCATGGAGGGGATGGATGAGGACAAGCCGGACAAAGGTGATTTATTAGTTTGTTACTATGGTGAATTCAGAGATTTCAAAATGATCCAATGATAGATTGGTGATCACCTGTAGTAAGTTATATACTATGTAAGCCAGTGGTCTCCAGCCTTTTTCAGCACAAGATCACTTTTTGAATTTGTGTGCAATCCAGGATCTACCTCAAACCCAAATACCCTGGCCCCGCCTCCTTTGTGCCCCTTCTCCAAGACCCTGCCCCTGCTCACTCCATCCTCCCTCCCACTTCCCCCGCCCCATCCTCCCTTTCTTTCACCAGGCTGGGGCAGA